GTCTGCAAACTTGCTTAAGTTTCTGTCCCATCATCCAGGTCACGAACACAGATATTAAACAGGAGTGGAGTCAGTATTGTGTCCTAGGGTGCACCACTAGTTACGGCCTCCAACTAGACTCTGTGCTTCTGATCATCACCCTCCAGGCCCAGTTGTTCATCCAGTTTTAAATCCACCTCACTGTCTGCCCATCCAGCTCACAATTCATCAACTTCTCTATAAGGATCCTATGGCAGACAGTGTCAAAAACCTTATGAAGTCAAGGCAGATGATACCCACTTCATCCCCCATGTCTACCAATCCAGTCATCTCATTTCACTGCAGAATGTTAGCAGGTTGATCAAGCATCACTTCCCTTAGCGAATTTGTGTTGACTGCTCATGATGTCCTCTTTCATGTGGCTGGGAAGGCTTTCCAGGATTAGTTGTTTCTTCACCTACCCAGGGATCAAGGTGAAGCTGACCAGCTTGTAGTTCCCCAGGTCCTCCTTCTCGCTGCTTTTGAAGACAGGAATGACATTTGCTTTCAGTGCCTTACAAATGACATTTGCGTTACAGTGACATCAGCCAGCTCCCTTACTACTTGTGGGCACATCTCATCAGGACCTATGGACTTGTGCTTCAGTGTTCTCCAATCTGTTCCTCTTCCACCAGGGGTAAGTCTTCCTTGCTCCAGACTTTCCTCAGACTCTGGGTCCTTAGATCACTGAAAGCTGGTCTTGTCAGTAAAGACTAAGGTGAAGAAAGCATTCAGTACCTCAGCCTTTTCCATGTTCTGTGTCAACAGGGCTTCTGCCCATTAAGCAAAGGGCCCACCTTTTCCCTAATCTTCTGTTTACTACCTACGTACTCACAGAACCCCTTCTTGTTGCCTTTGACATCCCATGCCAAATTCAGCTCCAGGTGGACTTTATCTTTCCTAACCATGTCTCTGCATAGTCAGAGAGTGCCTCTGTATTCCTCCCAGGTTATCTGTCTCTGCTTCCTTCTTCTATGTATTTCCTTTACATGTTTGAGTTTTATCAGAAAGCTCCTAATTCATCCACGCAGGCTTCCTGGCAATTTTGCTTAAGTTCCTGTTCATGGGGATGGACTGTTCTTGAGCTTGAAAGAAGTGGTCCTTGAAATATACATCAGCTTTCTTGGGTCCCTCTTCCCTCCAGGGTCTTATTCCATGGGACTCCTTCAAGCAGATCCCTAAAGAAACCAAAGGGTACTCTCCTCAAGTCCAGGGCTATGATCTTGCCTTTTGCCCTGCTCCCTCCTCTTGGGAACCTGAACTCCATCATCTCACGGTCGCTGCAGCCAAGGCTGCCTTCAACATTCACATCCCCACCATCACATCCTAGTTTGTGAGTAGCAGATCCAGCAGAGCACCTCTCCTTGTTGGTTCTTGTATCACTTGGGTCCAAAAGTTATCAGTGCTCTCCAGGAAGCTCATGGATTGCTTATGCCCTGATGTGTTGTTCCTCCAGCAGATACTGGGGTGGTTGAAGTCCCCCACAGGAGTATCAGACATCAGGCTGTTTCTAGCTGATTGTGGAAGGCCCAATCCATTTTTTCTTCCTGGTCAGGCAGCCTACAGCAGCCACTCACCACTGTGTCACACAAAGTGATCTGGTCTTTAATTTTCACCCATAAGCTCTTGGTTGGCTCATCCGTCACTCCTGGCAGAACTCCATGCATCCCAGATGCTCTTTCACATCATGGGCAACTCCCCCTCTTCATCCTCCCTGCCTGTCCTTACCCAGAGAACCTGTATGCCTCCACCGCAGCACTCCAGTCGTGTGAGGCATCCTATCATGTCTCCATGACTCCAACAAGATCACAGCCCTGCAGCTGCACACGTATCTTTAACTCCTCATATTTATTCCCCATGCTGCATGCACTAGTGGATGGGCACTTCAAAGTGGCACCCCAGCATGCTTATTACCCAGAAAGGGCCTGGGGTTTTTTTCCATATGGTGCCTCATAGGCACCTCCATGCTTACATACAAATACCTGAGAGAACGCTGTAAAGCAAGGCTTTAAAGAAGAGAGTCACAGTGACTCTCAACTATTTAGTATTTATGAATAATTTATTTTAAGTACAATACTTAGTGAAGAAATTTCCTCACAGCCCTCTTCTGTGCCTCTGTGCACTAAGGCTAATTCAGCTTTTCCCACTGCCATTCTAGACTAACGCCTGTCTATATGATTCTTAATCTCTGTGGAGACTCTGCAACTTTCCCAGAAGACTATTCCAGAACTTCATTTTTGCTTACCATGTAGAATTATTACCTGAATTTTAGACTGACTTTTCCTTGTAATTCAAGGCCACTGCTCCTGGTCCTGTCTGCCCTAGAGGGAACAAACTCTTTGCATCTGTCTTTTTGTATTTGAAGGCAGCTGTCATTTCTTTCTTCCTCCCCCATTTCCTAGTTTTCGTCTTCATTTTGATAAAGGCCTTGCGAGGCAAACTGTAATCAAAATAATGAATTTTATTTGCTGTAGTGAGACTTCCTCTGTCACAAAGACAGAATTCCACCTGGCGATTTGCCTCAAGAGCTTTACAGTATAAAACTTTGCCCCTTGCTCCCCAGATTTATTTCAAGGAATATACCTGAGGTGCACTATGGAACTTTTTTCAAGCATCTACACACTTCCGTAGCTGTTAAGACTTTTCACTTCTCAAATTTTCATCTCTTTTGTCAATACTTACATCTCATGCCAAAGAAAAACTGAAATGTCTATCAGATAGTAAGCTCCTCACAATTTTAAGAAGAATCCTAAACAGACTACCTTCAGACGACACATACCCAGAATCCCTAGCAACACATATAAAACAATATATAAGCAATTCAGTTTTATTCTTCTCAGGCTGATCCCTGTCCATGAGACAAAACCCACTCAATCCATATTTTCCTATTCCAAAAGCTTAGGACAAGACCACTGCTTTCCATAGTTACCTGATGATCAATTATCTCAGACCCCAGCATAACAGCAGTGGAAGCAGATTTTCCATGCTAATCTCCTTGCAGCATTGCTCATTAAACTACTATGCTACACAACTGGACAAGCAAGAGACTTCTTAGAGCAAAGCAGGTAATTACAGTAATTCATTCTAATAGCCAACTTTTCAGCCAAGATAAGGAATAAAAGAAAGAGTTCAAGACCATTCACAGTTTAGCCCTTTCCCCCTTTTTAGTTTTAAAGACACTGTGGACATAGTAGAATATGGTTTTACACTTGCAAAACCAAGGACACAGATTTTATTTGCACTTTCAAACTTCATCTTACAAGGCTGACAGCAATTCATACAATATCAAACAAAAATTTATAGTGATACAAACATTCTAAATGCTGAGCACTGCTCTCTGCAGCTACCATTGTTTTGGTATCAGTGTTACATTAGTGAACAACACCAAGGCATTCTTAGTGATTAAAATGCTGTGTTTTGCCTACACTGGAGACACCCTGCTAATGCCATTCCAACAGCTGCAGAGCACTTTCTGCTTTTTTCAGCACCTGCCACACTCACTCTCCCAGTGAGCCTACCTATGCGTCGGTGAGGCGTACACACCAGTGGGGGGGGTTAATCCAAAGCCATCTTCTGATCCTCTCTTCCAGTAATCACTACTCAGCCTTACCCAAGCACAAAACTTGATGTGACAGTAAAAATTCGACCATTACAAGCATGCTAATGCTGTACTAGTGAGCAAATTATACTAGGCGATCCAGCCATCGCTGGAGTTATAGATATCTACACATCACAGCTACTCTTCATACACTTTTAACCATTTACTTCAGACACTCTGCTATTGTTACTCCTATCGGTCTTAGCACCTTTCCGCTTATACTTCAGTTTTCATTACTACCTGTAAATGAACACAAGCTGCAATCTTTCTCAGTGCTCCACATTCTGATAACATTTATATGTTTAAATGCCAGAACCAAACATCCTCTCCCCCTTCCATAGCATACTGCAGACGCCCTCCCACATCTCTGCTAGTTTTGCATGGTCTATAGACAAATTGCTCATTAGTCTAGCATCTAATGAAAGTCTTAGTCTCCAGCACCTCCTTGTTTCAGTTGCACAAAACCAATAACAAATTTCATTTCTTCCCCACATTTCCACAATATAGGTCTACCTAAGTTGGAGCTACAGTCAAGGCCACTATAAAAACATTTTTGGCTCTAAATATGCCAAACAGTAACATATTACAGTGTGTAAATCTTACTCTTTTCTAATTTAATGCTTTTCTGAAGTCTGGAACTCTGCTTTATTTAATCCCTAACCAGATTTTCAGAAAGACATGCTTGTACATTTGAAATCACTTCTTTGCTGCACACCCCCAATTACCATGTACACATGGATACTTCAGGGATGAACTACATGAACAGAAGTACGCAATAGTATGCATACTTTTGTAAGCCCATCTAGAGCTTTAAGAATTGACAATTTAATAAGATTGCTACCGAGAAGACACAATTCATTTCTTTTGCGACCCAAACCTTATTTCACACGTTTTAAATTCTTTAAATGCTGTTATATATCTCTACCAGAGGGGAAAAAAAGAAAAAAAAAGTCTGGAAGGAAAAAAAAAAAGTTCTTACAGTGGTTCAACTCATGTATTTTAAGTCTAAAAACATTTTTAATACTTTAGCCAGTAATAAAAAGAGAAAAAAAATCCTTTCAAAGAGACAATTGAGACCTGCAACGTACTGAGTTTTACTGCACATAGTAACTCCCCGATGACATTAAAATTGCCAGTGTTTATCCCAGCAACAAATGTGACATATAGTCTAACTCTGTATTTATTGTTTTCTTTAAAAGTCTGAAGCAAATGAATTAACACAAGAGGTCTCCAACATGTTCAGAATATTGTTACACTACCATGTCACAACGTATCAACATGATTTCTGATGAGTGGAAGAACATTTTTGAGAGAATCATTACGTCAATTGAGAAACCAGAATTTTTCCTGAAAAAAAAAAGTAAATATAATAAATGTGTACTACCTTGTTACTTTACAGCTTGACCCAATCAGCTCATTTTCAATATCCAACAGACTAGCAGGCAGATTGCATTCCAAAGGTGAGGCCATTCTTTTTAAACGCAGTAAGCCAACACAGAACTTTGCTCCCATCTCCTCCAGTTCTCTTGTCCCTATCTGCAATCCCTAATTTAAAAATAAAGTTAAAAAATACAAAATAGGTACATGCAGATGGACCCACACATATTGCAGAATTACTATTTAAAAAAAGATGTTATTTTATTTAACACACTCTTTTGCTCTAAAAACAGAACAAATAAGAGTAAACACTTATGATCAGAGAAAACTCAAAGAGTAACTACATGGTTCCTCTCATGGAAACATCCACATTTCTTTGGAGCTTCCTAATCTAGACTTCTAGCACATCAATATTAACAGGACTTTACCCAGTGGCACTGGAAGAGAGACACAGATCATGTCCAAGTTCATAAGTACAGAATATTTTAAAAACCTGAGACAAAATTTATAAACAGGAATTTCAAGTACTAAGATTTCACAAACAAGAGTCTTCAACAGAAGTTCCATCAGAATGAAAAAAATTAGTGAACTCATATTGTAGCTTCAAGTTCATTGCTATGTTCTGACTTGTAAATAAGGCTACTTAAGGCAACAAAGTTACTCCTTGACACAAACACCTTTTCCCCTCCTATAAGTTAGAGGCTACACATGTTAATTCTGAAAGCATTTATTCACATATTTACAACAAACACACAGTATCAAAAGTCATAGGTGTTTTCTAACTCAAATTCCACCAAGGTATTTTCCCCTGCAAAGAGTATTTAGGAGGTAGAACTTACATAATATTCTCCAAGTTTACATACGTGATAAAGCCTCCCATCAGACAACTGTATACTTCTAATTTAGCCAGCAGTGCAGTATGTAGGGACAGAACCTCTCAACTACTTTATGAAAAGAGAATGGTATTCCAGAGTGACCCTCAACAATTACGGAATTGGCTAGCACTGGCTGTGCATACACTAACAAATTCAATGTCACAACCCAACTCAATCTCCCCCTTTGCAACTTTTGTATCTCAGGAGAATTTAAAATGATTTTAGCTTGGATCTTCCCAGCGGCTTAAGATAAAGGGTAGGTAAAAAGAAGCTTTGACAAAATAAGTGGGGAAGCAGAAGAACCAGGAACTGGTGGTAAGCTAAGTCATCAAGTAGGAAAAGACATGAAGTAAAAAGAATGGAGTAGGAATTTTTTTATTACAAGCTAAAGCCCACACACACGCAAGCTTCGTATACGTTGCCACACTGACACTGTATTTTAAAATGCAAGGTTTGAAAGACAGCGTTACGTTCTCCGCGAATGGCAGAGTCTACACATTCTTCATGTACTTCTGTTTTGAACATACGCACACTTAATAAACAGAAAGTTTATTTTTCTTGCAAGTATTTTTCTTCCTCAGTAGCCTTCATAAACAAGGTGCTTTTTAGTAACACGAAAGCTAAAGCTATACCCACTATTCTAAATAGTGCCAAATTGTACAGAAACCTGTTAGCAGTGAACAAGAGTTGGATATTTGAGTATTATTGTTAATAGTAATACTACTTACCTCTTTTATAATGCTTTTGTGCTGTAGGTTTCAAAGCACTTTATTAATAAAGGAAGAATTATCCTCACTTTACTGATGGAGAAATGGAGGCAGAGAGGGTTGAAGCGATTTGCACAGTGTCTCACAGCATGTCACTGACCCCGCTGGGAACAGAAATCAGCTCTCCTCACTCCCAGTGCAGTACCTTATCCACAGAGGGCAATTTTTTGTTTTTGTTTTGTATTTGTTTGCACGTCAGTAACATTCGAAGTCCCCAATCATAGCTGGGGCTCCACTACGCTAATCACAGGAAGACACAGTCCCTGCCCCAAAGAGATTAAAATAACATTAAGGATAAGAGGCAACAAGTATGCAGAAGGGGAAGGAGAAGCGTAACAGTAATCTCACTGTTACAAGGATTACTAACGTGCGCAACTCGATGGTTCAGAAACTTTTCCAATCATTGTCTACATCTGTTGCTGAAGAAATTATCATTAGTTGGCTGGTTCCTTACAGACCGTATAATAGGAGTGGCTCGAAGTCAAAGAAGGATGAGAGTAGAGTACGAAAGAAAGTGCAAAGACAATTGTTAGAAGATAAATAGCGTGTGCATGTTCGGTGGCTGCTATTTTCAGCACAGCAGAAAGAGGATGTAACTAAAGAGAGACCTAAATGGATCACATTGGAGGTGGGTAACTGTGAAATGCCTGGACTACATGAAGTTTGAACTTACTATACTGAAAGGCCTACATACTTGCAGTAAAAGCCCATGCCAATGTCTAGATCTGCTTCTGTCATTTATTTAAATCAATATGGAGAATGCAATACCACAAGCTGCCAAATAGCAAATTTCTTAATCCACTGTTATTCTTCCATCAGCCAAATCTCTTCATTTCCACCGAACAAGAGACCCAAAGTCTCTTTCAGGAAATAATAATAAACAGTTGCCTTAACTAAGGGACCTGAAGTTCATTTTCACTGAAGCCTTGATTACATTCCTGTTCTTGATATTGTATTCACCTTCAACTGTTGTTCTAGTACCTTTAACTGGGGCCTACTAAATTTCCTGAAGTGTTACAAGCACTGGTTTTAAGCACAAGCCACCTGGAAGTAGACGCCTTGGGTCTGTTGTTTTTTTTTAAACATGCACCGAATTTCACTGCTTTTTCTTTACATTTTATATAACTGTCTTTCTTCTAGACAGTAACATTTTAGATGGCTAGTTGAAGTCTTCCTTGCTAAGCATATCACAAAAATATCTTAGAATGAGCAGACTGTCTTTGTGATGATCCTTGCTACCTGAAAGATGCAAAACAAAAGCACAACAGACTGTGACCTTAAGTTGAGAAGAATATTCCTGTAATACGTAGTTAATAAACTGAAAACAGCCATACTAAGATCATACTAAAACATGATCATCTTGTTCTGCTTTCTTATTCAGTAGAGGCTACAAAGATATGACCATTTTTGACAACTCAAAATCTAGAGATTGAAGAATCATGGTAAACCGACAAAGTTTGTTGATTGAACCCTCATCTCCTAAAGTCTTCTCTTTTTGTGCATCATAAAATTGCCACATAACAAAATATTTTCAATTAACTTTAAAATTAAGCAATGCTCCCAAACTTACTAATCTCCAGTCAAGAAAGGGATGGAATTCAGTCTTCAGGTAGTTTGAGTTATTGAAGAAATCGTTCTTTTGTCTGGCATCTTAATTATCCTCCATAGTAGATCTTGGAGTATCTCTTCACCTAAACGTTTGCTTTTCAATATCTTGAATCGCAGACAACTGAACAATATTTGCAGCACTAATTCTCAATGCACTACAAAGACCCCACACAAGCAGTTAAAACAAGATTGCTTCCAGAGATAGCTCTGTCACCAGGGATCCTAAATGCAGGCAAAAATTGCTAACTTCAGTTCAACAGCTTTCCGGCTAGAGATAGTCTAGCATCACCATTTTTGAGTAAAATAACAAAGAATAAAAAGAAAAATGGATGTTCTTCTATTATCCAGCTTTGGCAAAGACTCAGCATTTCTTCCACAAAGAACAGAATTGTTGAGTAATCCTCTTTGTACTTTTAACAAAATTCAGTGATGATGCCAAACCAGAAGACAACTGGAGAAGTGCTTCAAACCTTTACACGATATACAGTCCACTCCCTCAGAGCTGAACTGTCACATCCTTTGGGGTGCGAAGTAGGAACAGAGGCAATTTCTACAGTTTAACTCCTCTCTATGTTTTGAAATCACATATTAAGATATGTCATCAAATTTATACCTCAAGTTTATTCACAGTTAGTGGCCCCACTCACTCCACAGCAAAAAATACAGACTGCGCCTCTTCATCTCTTTGACCTTCTCGCTGGAGAAATGTTGTTCTTTTCTTGTTCTGTCTAGTCAACTTGGCCTTTCAGATACATTTTCTTAATAAGCCTGAGCATTATCATAGTGAAGAAAAAATGAAGAATCTTCCTGTATGTTCAGAGGATGACTAAGACCTCACAAATAGTTTTATTCCACATACAGTGAATGACAGAACAGCAATCTGATCTCACCAGCTAGTTTATATTACATAGAAGAATGCTGTTCCCTTTTGAGTAAATTATTTTGCCAGAGAATTCAGCCATTTTTTTTTCTCCCTTACTGAATAAGGGATGTGCGTCTTAAGCATCTTGAAAGTTTGTCCACAAAGCATCTTCAATTCACCTTCCTTTACAACTTTCCTTAGCAACACTGCTGAAGCCATGAAGGTTCATGGTTAAAAATATTCTGGAAGTTTCAAAATAAGCAAGTTGGACAAGCTATCATTTTTTAAAGCTCCATAAAGATGTCATCTGAGGAGTAATAGTTACAGACCTGATGAAATTTCTGCCAAATATCTGCCTTCCTTTTGTCTAGGGAGATAAGCACGGGTGTTGGAGCATACATTAACACATTAAATATACCTTGTTTCAACATTTTTTTTGTTCCTGCCCCCTGCCCCGCCCCAGTCCCAGCCTTCTGATCCTCTTTTTGTCAAGCACCGTATTTGAGGCTTATGGTCCTCTTCTTGATCAGCATTCCTAAACTCTATGTTCAAGTAGAGGAAACTGTGACTTCTTCCATGAATGACCATTTTAAAAACTTGCTTAAATTAGTAGCTAATTTTAATCCAGTGACTGAAGTTGAAGATGAGATGTTAGGGTGGTGGTTCTCTTTTTTTCCATAAAAATATTTTATTTTACATAAGTTCTCTATTAATGAGAAACTAAAAACAGCATCACCTTTTGTTGTCAGATATCCACCCCTGTTAACACTTTTGAAGGACAAAGTTGAAAACAAGTTTTAAGTCAAACAACTATGATGAGTTCAGAGACATGTAATTTGTAGTTATGATACAAAAGTATTTTGATTTATAAGCCTGTTTCTGCTGCTACAAAGGAAAATTATGTAAGGGACACTACTAAATATCTGCTGAAGAACCATGAACTGCCATGGTGCAGTCTGAAATTGTCATATGCACAGGAAATTTTTATTCTAGTACTGGCATTTACTACTACCCAACAATCTACTGGAAAGAACAGTTCTGATTTTTTTAACTACATGCATACATACGTGTTACAAGCAGTTATCAACTGTGTTGAAACAGCCAATAAGCATAACATACTGGGGGGGTTTTAAGTGACAGATGAAGACTGTTATGCAAATTAAGTAATTTCACTCTAACATTAGTGTACACGGATCTTCAAAGAGTTTTAGAAGTTTAAAGCAAGCAAGCAAGTGGCGTTATAGAACAAGATACCAATGCAAACAAAGAAGTTATGAAGCAAGAACAGTTTTACTGACATATTTTCTTACCTTATATTTGCCCTGGTCACATCCACATAACGTGCTTTCCATTGTGTAGCTCCTTTGTACTCCTATCTCTCTCCAGACAACAACGCGCGCTGTTGATTCCTTGGACTTTTCCACTACAAAGCTGCAGCTGCCCATGCAGAATGCTGGAGCAGTCTGACTTAGGATCTTGGGGAGTGCCTGCAGGACAGCAATTTGAAAAATACAGCAATTCTTTTCTTTCACTTATGGAAGCAGGGGAAAGGGGCATACGCCACCACAAACTGTTAGAAAATTTTGCTGAAATTTGAATTAAAAAAACAAGAATGAAAACATTTCCCCATCATGAATTTTCAAAACTCATCGCGTTCAAGTAACAACAGGTTTGCCATTTCACACTTATAAAAATCCTCTTTTTCCAATTCAATCACTAAAATTAAGTGGTAGTCTTGTGGGTAATAATCAGGATTCAGAAGAATTCCACCACCTCCTAATTCACCAAGACAACTTTACTCAAATAAACTCTACTACATACCTGACATAATTAATTGAATTCGTTTTCAGACTGTTTCAACAATCCAATTTGCAGACCTAACACAGGCAGTACTTCATTGATACATAAAAGTCAGTCATATTCAGCGAAGCACTAGGTGGATATTTAACTTCAAGAACGTGAATCAAAGTTCAATACAATGGTTTACGTGACAGCTTTTGAAAAAGACGAGAAACGGTTTTGCAAATGTACGTATTTGACTAATGCTAAGCGACTGCATTCTGTCCAGGTTTTATTTGTATCAGTTAAACCAAAGCACATGACCACTGTGAATTTCCTATTTCAGTAGTACGTACACCATTATTAGTGTAAGCTTGCCCAACATTTCAGTCCACCTTTTTGAAACCAAGAGGTTTTTTCCCAGAACTGTTACTGACTATTGTCTTATGTGTGGTATGGTAGCACAGGCCGAAGTGACAGAACATGGTGGGCAGCAGACGTGAATGACATCAGACTCAGCATCCAGGAGACAAAAAAAAAACAATCAAGGAGTGATAGATTTTTTTTTTTTTTTTTTTTACAAAATAGTTGGGAAAAAAAATCTGAAAGCATTTGTAGTCATGCACACTCACAGATGCATTACAAGCGTTTTAACGTACATTCACACGCTTTTCAAGCTTAACTGCATCTCCCCCAAAAAACACAGGGTCTGGATACATGAGGTTGCACAGATTTGCGGTTGCCACAAGGCGGCAGTGGAGTTACACAGAAGAAACAGGTAACACATAATTCTTTAAATCTTTTCGACTTTTTGAAAGCTTATACAATGCAGTGGATGTCGTTTGTGCAAGTATATTATGTATATGTATTAAGGGCACATGCCTCAACTGCACATCTGTACAAGAGGAACCTTGCCTATTTCCATACTCAAAAAATAGTATTTCTCGGAGCAGTATTTTATTTTCTGGTTACTACAATATTGTTTGCATTTGCGACACAGGCTTCGATGACTCTTTTTTCATCCAGTAATTATAAATGCACAGAATCATATTTTCAGTGTATTTACTGTAACGGTAATGCTGAACATAAAAAAGTACATATTGGTACAAAGACCCCCAAAAATAAAGCACTCTACTAACATTAAATCTTTAGCTGTATTAGTGTACAATGTTTAAAGCTCTCAAAATAGTTGGAAGCACACTCATGAACTAAAAAGCGATCATTCTAAGTAAGTCTGCTTATGCTATGAGACCACTATGTGCACATAATAGTATTGGGAAGTTATCTAAAAATAATATTCCAAATTCATGCCAAGTGAAAAAGGTACAAATGTCAAACTTACCCTGTAACCAGGGTCTTCCATCAGGTCACAAGAGGCAGCATTAACATTCGTGTGCCACATTGTCTCTTTGATGCTGCAGCCATACATAAATACATTCTTTTTACGAGAGTGACCATGATAATCGCAGTAGACCTACAATAAATCATTCAGCAAAATAAAGCCAAGGCATATGAAATTAACATTTTATAAAAGTAATAGAAGGAAAACAAAAATTTTTATTTGTACTGTTGAAAGCTCCAAAGATTTAGGAAATACAGCTCCTTATATAGTTAACTTTCACATTAAGGCAAAAAAACTAGGATTCATCTAAGCAAGGTTTAACCTTCTGCCCTAGCAAAGGATACAGATTTAGACCTAAAGGTTTGCAGAAGACAAGTTCTCCAAGTCAAATTTAAGAGTGACACGGTTTACAAGACCACCTTAAAATATTTACTTAACAGACTTGCTACATAGACAAGGATAAAAAGATTCAGAATTGCTTACACACACATACTCACCAAAGGTAAGCGTTTTATAGCAGCCAGATATTGCAGTAACCCTTTAGCATGGTAAATAGTGGGATGCAGATCTGGATTTGGATTTTGCCACTGTCTGTTTAAATCTTCTCCACTTAAAGAGCAACGGTGGCTATTGTGAGGGGGTGGAAAAACGCGTGATGTAGTCTATATTACCATACTTTTAAATAAGCCTCCCCCCCACCTCAAGTTTTCCTCATCACCACTGTTTCTTTGGAAGGAGTCTGGTAAGAAACACACCCCAGTTTTCTAAAATGCCGAATAGTAGAAGTGTTTTGGATTTTAAAGTTATGTTACAGAAAACCTAAAAATAAATTATAAGTAACTTCTTATATGAAGTCAATTGTAATCTTGCTTATTTGCTGTTGAAACTGAAAGCTTGCGATTCTATTCCAGTGCTAGCTCAAAATCAGTAATTTTGAATATACGCTATCTTTACAGTGTTGGTGTCTTCTGTAATATAAAGACTAATGTCAGTCAGAAATCTAAGACTTGAAACATGAAATTGTTAGGAGACAAGCAGCTGTGAGAAAAACAAGAAAGAAATAAAAACCAAACCAAATAACCAAAACACTCAGTGAACAAATAAAGATCATCTCTGTATTCAGTAAACTATCAGCAAGAACTTTTAAACTTGCAGAAATTCATGTTCCTGCAGTCATCTTCAGTACCTTTGTCTTTAGACTCCACCTGCCAGGACAGATTTCCTAATTGTCCCTGTATTAAACTTTCACTTGTATTCTGAATGATTTATTTCCAGATGTTCCATTAGATAAATGTTTTTACATATATAAGGACAGTGTTCAACTCAAATCCATAATTGCTCTGATTTTTACTATTTTGTTCACAAAACCTTTTAAAATGTTGCCCACAACTAGTTATGAAGGAACAGTAGATTCACCATACCAAAGTCTCCATTTCATATGAATTCCCTATAACCAAATAAATATAAGACTACTGAATGCTTACTCATAGCAGTATCAAAAGGTCCTGAAATATCCCTTAAATTTATTAAGAAAAGTGGTAGTAAGTCGAAGAATTATCATTAATGACTTTAATTAAATCAGGATACTTTCTTACCCTTTCTCTTGCACACTTATTAACTTTCTCCTTTTCAGTAACATTTGACATCAGCCATTTCCATAACATCCTTCTAAAAACTATAATTAAGAGGTGAAAAAATACGTAAAATGCTTTCTCAGATACAAGGACTGCTCTTTTTCATGAGAACCATGAACTTGTTTAGCTGTTCTTAAAAGCAGCTGGTGCTCTCAGATGACACTCTACACCTACCCAAGACTGTAGCTCAGAAAGACAATTAAAATGCCATGTCAAATCACATAGGAACGATTATCATCCATGAACAACTGAAGACATTTTTTATAAAATTGAAATTCACAGAAGAATGCCTCTGCCTTTAAAAAGCCAAAACAATGGAAAAGTCCTAGCTATGTTTTAAGTGTGGTTTTTTTCACATTATGTATTGCATTTGCAGGTTTAGATATATTTTTTTTTAATTAACAGATGCAAACACTTAGTAGTACAGGTTACACATTTGTGAGTAAACTTATGCTTACTTTCCATTGATGACACCATCTGGGTTCAGCATGGGAATAATTTTGAAAATGTAAGATTCTCGTAAACATTGAGCACTTGGATTATTGCTCATAAGGTATTCCAGTGTCCCCTTCATAACCCAGCTTGCATTAGTCTCTCCAGGATGTACACGAGCAGATAGGAAAATGTAAGGACGATTCCCTAAAACAAGTATGCACAGAAGTTGCAAAACACAATTCAAGTGAAGTAAACGGTTTGTTAATTGAAAAAAGAGGCAACAGCTACTTCATTTATTACAATGCAAAATGCAGTCTTTGGGAGTTGAGTGTTATTGATACCATTGATGGACCTTGCCAGAATATTGTTGTAAGGACTGTTAATTACAGAACTCTCACAATGGACCTTCATATTCAATCAGACCATCATACAGTCACAACTAGTTTGAGCTGGCAATTGTGGTATGATGACTTTGATGGGTTTTTTTTCCAATAGCCAAGAAAAATACTGGGGCAGAGGAATAAACCAGGAACGCCATCCTAACTAAAGCTCACTTTGAATTGCAGTACTTAGATATTGGCTTTATGAAAGATTTTTTGACAAGCAAATAACCTGAGCATTCGGAGAAATACTCAGAAGTCAGGTATTCTTTTCCAAGAAGTGCTGTCTGCAAAATGTAACATATAAAAACATCTAGCAATCGATTTAAAATATATGAATATACATACTCTTATATATCCAGATATAAATATCCTATTTGACTACCACAAATATTACTAAACACAATGCAAATCCTGAATATTGATGCCTCAATTTCATTAAATTCATCAACCTTATTTTACACTGCTATTTTTACTATGCACAACAGTTACTACTAACTTTTTTTCATAAAGATCTATTATTACATTATTTTCAGTAGATGAGAAAGAAAAGTCATACTTACTGAACTGACAGATATGTTCATAGTAATGGGACGCTGGCATGGCCGTAATGGTGATTAAGGGACAACTGTTGCCTGCCAGGGTCTCACAAAGAACAGCTTGTCGAAAATATATCTGTTGAGGGTTGTGCATAGATTCCAGCTTCTGAAGATGCATCTTCATCCCAAAAATAATGCAAAAATGCTTCAAATCTTTTGCAGTCACATATCACAGCATATTCCACAGGTACTATTTAATCAATCTTTCTTTTTGTTGTTCTAAACAATGTTCAAGTTTCCATCATAATTTTGAAAATAAAATATCATTCTCTACATCTCTAACCGAATACTTCTCTTTGTAGAGTCTATTTTTCCAATGGTTTCGAGGAAGATGAAGGCACAGAGGGTACATTACTTTCTACCAGATGATACTGTAAGAACAGGTGGAAGGTAAGAACCTTTGCGCTTCATTCAGGTTATCTGATCAGGACCTTTTCAGTTCGAATGGGGATAACAAGTAAAGGGAGAAGCAATAAAGAGGAACAGAGAGAAACAATCCCCGCAGATGAGACGTCACAGAAACAATAGCAAAGATCAAAGTCTCCTGTATCTAACTGATGGCCCACTGAGAATCTACAGGCAAAGCTTTGTAGAGGACCAGCTGCAGGACAAGGAGGAAACAAAATGAACGTGAGGAATTGGGATATTCAAGGGAGGCCTGCGGGAGCATGCAAAACTTATGCACCTGATCCCTACTGTCTGTCCTTAGCTACCTCTCTGTGCAGCCTCACTTTCTATCCCCTGCATGCACGTGCTGTGTGGATAGGTGCAACTAACAAGACAGGTGTAAGTGGATCTGGGGTCAGCAACTAGAGGGAACAAGGGTCTCAGCATCAGCAGTGGGAGAGGCCACACCTCTTAGGAGCATCTGTGGGCACCAAAGACTTTGTGTCCAAAGTGCCAGCTACTGCTGGGATCGAAGCAAGTGCACTTCGTGCCAGCAGCAGGAGCCGCAGGCAGTGTAGGCAGTCTTCAGTGTGTAGTGTCAGCAAGAGGGGGTCTCGGTGCCAGATGCTGGAGTGGGTCAGGGTCTTGGTGTCCATTCACTGGGGCAAGAAAAGTGTGTGTCCCAGAAACCAGCCAGTGGGGTGATAAGGGGAGTGAAGCAAGGGAGGGTGTCTAAGTGCCAGCACCCAGCACAGGAACATGGGTCACGAGCCTATGTGCCCAGAACCAGCTGCTGGGGGGAGTGGGGGGGGAGCATATGCATCTTCCCCAAAGCTCGTGTGCATGGGGTCTGCGTGTGCAACTTGCTAAGAAACTTCAAGGTGGACTACCTAGTGAGTACGAGGCCACAGGTGGAGGCAGAGGCATCAGGCAGGCCAAGACTCCATGCTGGCACTGAGGGGAACCACAAGTGTGGAGTGCCTGTGAGACAAGCGTGCGAGTGCATGCATCTGTCTGCTAGGCAGCAGCATCAGGCTGGACAAGCGTGGAAGCTGGAGGCCTGCACAGCAGGTGCGAGAGACTGGAATCCAGGCAGGGGTATGGCATGGACGGGTCATGCCAGTCATCCACAAATGTGCACATACTTATCCGGGGAGGGGATGGGTGCTTTTACCAGTGAACAGCAACCCTTACCAGCTGGAGAGTAAGAAAGGGACCTGGGTGTCTGTAATTATCTTTTAAGCAAGTCCTGGCAGTGTTACAGAGGGGTGCTGCCGAAGGCAGCACATTGCCTGTGCCAGCCTGTGCAGCCAGCCGCGACGGGGAAGGCAGATGTGCAAGTGTGTATCCAAGTCTCCCTCTCTCCCTCTTCGGGATACACACTCAGACTCACTAGTGGTGGAATCTACCAGCAAAGAGGAGAGCAGCAGCCACACCTGTCAGCCTGGGGCAGAGACCCTGGCCTCTTGGCTGGGCTCCACCAGCTGTGCAGGAGGAAGCACCAGGCCCCAGAGCTGTTGGTGGCAGCAGCTGCTCATAACATCCCTTAGCAGGTACTTTTTCCAAGAGCAAGTATGCCTTAGTAAAAAGCTTCATTCAGTGCTGTTACACACTGGCCACTGAATCCCCCCGTTTGCTTTTATGGCCACGACAGAAGCCACCAGCAGACATTCTAGGCCAGAGTTTTGCTCAGTACCAAAAGCTTCATGCCACTTTGTTAGCCAATTCATTATCCTAAAAAGGTCTCTGATTACCCTAAATACAGTAACCTGAATAGGTCAGTTATGAAGAGGTACATGCAGAACAGTAGGATATGAGTCATTTGACTCAAACACAAATACTTCATCCAATCAACACTGTTCCCCATAATTATGAATTACAATTCCCAGAAAACCCACTTAAGCTGCAAGTAAGTACCAAATTTATTTTTCCAGGGACTGTTTTCTAGAGCAACCTACATACTTTGCCAGTCTAATATTTTATGAAACTCTCCATTTTAAGCAGCATTTTGAACTTCCCAAAAAGAAGTAAGAAGAACTCATTCATGAATACTTACATTCCACACTGTCCAAAAGTATGAATATGTATCTATGTAACAGATCATAATCTTCTCACCTTTAAAGTTGAGTACGTATATGGATAATGGTAAGCAAAGTAGCAGACATCATCTTTATGTTGGAAGGTCACCGTGAACGTAATTGTGTAATAAGATTTTCCTTTCTGACCTCCAGCAGCAATTGAACTTCTTGAAAAGTGATTCCTAAAAGTAAAACAAAGATAATAAACACATTAGAACACTTCTTTTTTTTCATATCGTTATTCCTGAATGCAGACTCTAAGAGCCAGGAAGAGTTTTACGGACTGTACTTCTCTTCTGCATACATCCAGGTTAAATACCTGCTTACACAGGTTTTAGGTTTTACTGTTCCCACCATCTGTAAGGATACTTCATTATAGCAGTGATACACATTCACTCATAGTGGGAAAAGAAAAAAAAAAAAAGGAAGGAAACAACTGTTGACCAGGAAGGGTAACATATGGATATGCCATCTCATCTCATCCTGTGTTCCAGGATTGCCCTACAATGATTGCATCATAGAATACAGCAGCCTAATCACACTCACCATGTGATCAGTATTACTAGAAGTCACTGTTAAGATTTCAAGTAAGCATGCACATGTACATTCCCTTAAAGCCTCTCTGGAACAGTACGCAATTTCTCATAAAAGTATAAACGATGAACAGCTTAAATATTAGCAGTGTGTTAACAAAATAAGATGCTGTATATTTTGACCACTTCTATTACTCTCCGTAGTAACTCACGAAGAAAACTCTGTTCACAACTGAACTACTAAAAATTATCAAATTCATAAGCAAACATTTCTCCTCAAAAATTGTACCTCATACTGATATTCAGTATAAGATTTGCTGTATGTTTGACTGGCGTACTTACTTATAGTAACAAATATCTGTGCCAACACGAGTCCAACATGGTTGAGAATTTAATGCTTCTTGAACAGAATACATAAGGGGCTGCATACCTTAGAGAAAAAACACATCTCACTTTAACGTTTAACATTAAACATCAAGATCTTAGCACTAACTGACCATATCAACACTTAAATGCGAGTCTCTGAACTACATATACTCATTTACTCACTATTATAGAGTATATTTTCATGAATGCTTGGGTATTGTACACTCTT